ACAGATATAGTTAACCAAGTAGATGAATCCAAGTTTGATCCCATATATGATGTGGAGCATACTCTTGATCAGGAAGTAGAAACTCCTGAGGACTTGACAGCTCTGTATGAATCTAGTAGGATCATTCGACCTTCAAGAAGGTGTGAATCCATGATTACTAATCCGGCATTGCTGATACAGGATGATGAACCTACTAATTTCATAAAAACAAAGTCAAGTGTTGACTTAAAAGAGATAGCAAGAGGCCATAAAATTCGAAATGAACTTAATGTATGTGAACAAGGTATGGACCTTGGTTGACCCGCTTGATGAGATAAAACCCATAGGTTGTAAGTAGTTTATAAGGAAAAGGTTGAGATGGATGGGAATATCCGTACATATAAAGCAAGGCTAGTAGCAAAATGTTAAGTGTTGGCATTGACGAAACCTTTCGCTTGTAGCCATGCTAAAGTTTATTTGAATTTTTATTGCATTAGTTGCACACCGTGACTATGGGTTAAAACAAGTCTCTTGGAGTTGAAATCTTCGATTTGATGGAAAAGTTAAAATGTTTGATTATATCAAATTTGAAGACGAATTGTCTGTTTACAAGAAGATAGTGGGAGCATTGTCGTATTCCTAATATTATAGGAAATAACATTCCTATATTTCAATCGTTGAAATAATGGTTGTTAAAGAATTTATTCATGAACGATATGGGGAAGCAACCTGATCTATAGAGATAGATATAGAATATTGCTTAACTCATCTCAATCTATATAGATAAAATATTAAGAATATTTTATATGGAGAAATTGATTTACTCTTAAACGGTGTATTGGAAAGGTTCAAAACATAAAACAATCATTGATTCAATAGCGAAAACCTAATACATGATTGCTTCAAAAGCATCAAAGAGTTGTAATGTGGATCAAGATGTTCATTAATGAACTTGGAGTAGTTTCTAATATTTTTTATCACATGTCATTGTATTGTGATAACAATAGAGCCATCGCGAAAGTGAAGGAACTAAGGTCTCATCAATGATCCAAATATGTATTAAGGCGGTATAATCTCATCAAGAAGATAATCATAGATATAACGTAAAGAGAAGAACGAATTCCCACATTTGACAATATTGTAGATCCACTGACAAAGAGTTGTCGTAGCATAAATATGACCGTCATGTAGACTCTTATGATATAGGATACATAAGTGATTGGATCTAGTGCAAGTGGGAGTTTGTAAGTATTATGCCCTAGGTCTAATCAGTCTTGGATATAAATACTTTTAATATAAAGTTAATGTGATTTAATGGCAAATCTATTATTTAATTAATAGATAATAAAATTAACTAATAGAGTCCGTAAATTCAAATTTTCGTAATTTGTTAATCACAAGGAGTTGTGATTTTGAGATACAAATTACATATGATTAAATCTTAAATCATCCGTGGTTGTAAGTAATAACGAGATATGGATATCGTTATTACGGATAGACCATAAGGTATGGCATTTCTTACTTGTGAAGTAAGTAGCTGATCTCACAAGTTAAAGTGTGGTAACACTTAAATGAACACGTGGATGTTTTGTTATAGAACAAAACATTGGAGACCCGTCGAGAGATTCCACATGGATAACTATCTAAGTGTCAGTGGTTAATCTCTAATGTTCGGTAGTGGGATTGGTCCTTTGACTTGAGGTCGTCATGGTACCTTATATGAGGACAGTCATACTTTGGTGGTGTTGGATGTTGCTCTGCAAAGGGCCGCTAATACGACATCGTTCGGGTACGTCAAGAATCGTATGAAGGTTGTGATTGATCAATAAAGGATTCGTCACTCTTAGATAGTAGGAGATTATGATCCGCGTTTCATTCAATTAAGTCGATGATGGAATCCTTGGCCAGGGTGTACTCATAAGTCGAAAAGGAGTTTTCGACTTATATTGACTTAATAGCATAGTGAAAGATAGGATCAATAATCGAGATCGACACACTTCCGTATCTCGTAATTGATCGGATCATATTGACGAAGGGATTATAGTTTCACGGTAAACGAATGAGTTTGATTTTGTCATACCACGTGACATTTTTCGCCACATGTATTGCCCTGGCACATTGCTAGATGTCAATCAGGGACGGCGAGTGTGAATTGACGATAAATTAAAAGGGTGTTTTAATTTATCAATTTTGATTAGATCAAAATAATATTTCACGTCGTTAAGCATCGTGGTCGGGAACCTAATGGGTCGCACACAAAAGAGAATTGGAAGATTGCAAATTGACAATTGGTTAATTTAACAATCGTTGGATAAATTAATTAATTGAATTTGTCATTTATATTCCCGAATTAATTAATTGGATTAATTAATTTAAGGACCGAGTTTAATTGATTGGATTAATTAAATATTGGACCGGACCGGGTCGAGCCCGTTTGGGTTTATATAAATACATGACTAGGGTTTGAGATCCATATGATTTTCATTATTCTTGCTGGCACAAGAGAGAAAACCCTGGTAGCTGCAATCTTGTTCTCTGTGTGGTTTACCGTTGGAGGCTGAACAATTGGACAGCTGTGGATGGCGAATCAAGATTGTTGGAACGAAAAGAATAGAAAGAAGTTTGCAGATCTGGAAAAGGTACAATCTTATCATAATTTCTGTCTAAACACAAAGGCGATTCTTGGTGGGAATCGAAAATTATTTTAAATTTCGCTATGCATGTATAAGTAGATTCCCAACAGTTGCAAATTGCATAAGAAGATATTGAGTTTTTCTGTGATTTCAAGTCATAAAGGGGAGACAATTAGGAAGCTTATTGAGAAGTGTTTGCTTGATTGGGGAATAGAGTGTGTGGGTGCCATTACTATAGACAATGCAAAGACAAATGATGCAGCGATCATTTAAGTGAAAAAACAAGTTGAAGAATTGGAAACCCAATGATACTATGATTTTAGGTAGCTCTTATCTGCGTGTACATTGTTCAGCATGCATAGTCAATTTGATTGTTAAAGAAGGGTTGAAATAGTTGAATCCATCTATAGATGGTATTAGTAATGCGGTAAAATATTTTCGATCATTTCCTTCCTAGTTGACAAAATTTTAATGTTGTATTGAAAGGGAAAAGATTGCATGCACAAAACTTGCTATTTTAGATGTTTCTGCAAGATGAAATTTAACATTCTTAATGTTGGATAGTACATTGAATTTAGAAAAAGCTTTTGAAATAATGGAGAAAGGGGATGGATTTTATTGTAAATATTTTGATGAGAATGAAGATGGAAAAGAAAAAGAGGGGCCACCTACAAGTTATGATTGGGAGAAAGCTAGAAAATTTGTCAAGCTTCTAAGAACCTTTTGTGATGTCACATTGAAATTTAGTACTTCATTGAGTGTTACTTCCAATATTTACTTCCATGAAGTTTGTAAATTCGGGCAAATTTTGAAGAAATGGGTGAGAAGCAAGATTATTTGCTAAGTAATATAGCAAATAACATGAAGATTAAGTTTGACAAATATTGGGGTAAAGTTGATAAAATGAACAAGATTTTGATTGTAGTAGTGTTGCTTGATCCTAGATATAAGTTGGAGTTTGTTGTACATTGCATTTGTATCTTGCATGACAGTGTTAAAGTTGAAGCTATAAAAAATGAGGTCATGAAATTATTGTATGCTTTGTATAACCAACAAAAGGGATGGCATCATTCAAACAATGGGCCTAGTGGAAGCAAAATTACGAGCGATGAATCTAATGATGGAGTCACTTTATTGGAGGATTCAAATGATGATGATGATTGGGATGATTGCAATTTTGATTTTGGGTACAAGAAATTGAAAACTAACAAAATGGATTTTTCTAAAAAAATATGAGGTACAACGATATCTAATGGAACCCATTGAAGATGCTAGTGATGAAAATTTTGAATTGATGGAAGATCAATAAATCAAGATTTGAAATTTTATTTGAAGTTGCAAGGGATGTTCTTGTCATTCCTATATCTACAGTTGCTTTTGAGTCAGCATTTAATATTAGAGGGCACATTCTTGATCCATTTAGGAGTTCTTTAACTCCTTAAACAGTCGAGGCCTTGATTTGTGCACAAAATTGGCTAAGGGAAGAGTCTAGACTTTTGAGAATTTTCCAAGATAGAGTATGCATTGAAGAGATGGAATTCTATGAGGGCATTGAGACATGTAATAAAATATATTTTATATTTTTTCTTAGTAAATTTTATTAGTTGAACAAATTTGAATTTATTTATGTCTGTTAATAATTTAATTGTGCTTTTTCAATTTTTTCTTGCAAAGTTTCTTAATAGTGAGTATGACAAGTCAAGCAATTGATGGATAAATCAAATAGTTGGTAAGTATTAGCAATACTTTAAAATATTTTTTTTATCTATAACTTTTAATTTATATTTCATTTTTCATGTAGATTTGAAGGTTTGAAGCAAACGAACTATTGAATGGATCGTTGAAGTTTTAATATTAGCATCTACTCTTTGGTATTTGTATGCATTGAAAAATTAATCTTGTTGGTTAACTTGTTATTTACATGTTATTAAATTGAACTACTTAAATTTGTAAAACTACGATTAAACGTGTCATTAGTTGTATTTACTTAGTATTGTTATAAATGTTAAAAATTTAATTATAGTACGGAATCAAACCAAACCCGAACAGTTTTATAATTATATCTGAATCCGACGGTTCCATTTATTAAACACTCGAAAAAATTTTGTTCGATTCGGTTCTCATTAAAATCGAACCAAAATGACCCACGCCCACGCCTATCAAAGACATTGGAATGGTGTTAAATATATTATTTGTTACCTAAATGATATTATTGATTTGGTATTATTTTATTTTCAAAATTTGGAATCTACTTTAGTGGGATATACAAATGTAAGTTATCTCTATAACTCGCATAAAGATAATCACAAACAGGATATGCGTTTACACGTGAAAAAATAACTATATCACGGAGATCCATGAGGCAATCATTTACAGCAATATTCTCAAATCATTCTGAAATTATTGCAATCATGAAGCGGATCGAGAATGTGTATGGTGAGGAATATGACATATCATATCCAAGTATCATGTTGGTTAACTTCAACAAAAGATAATTTAATAATTTTATATGAAGACAATGCAGCTTCTATTGCACAACTTAAAAGGAAGCCATATCAAAGGTAATAGAACGAAAGCACATTTCTTCAAAATTCTTTCATACACACGAGTTTTAGAAGAATAATGACATTGATATTCAACAAATCCACTTAAGTGACAATGTATCTGATTTATTCACAAAAACATTTCCAGCATCTACATTCAAGAATTGATTCACAAGATTGGAATGTGCCGATTCAAAAAATTTCAAGATTTTCATTAAGAAAAATAGTTATATTCTTTTTCGTTTCCTTTTTTTTTTTTTTTTTTGTCTAGGTTGTCCCACAAGGTTTAAATGAGACAGTATTTTATTTTTTTACACTCTAAAATAACTGTACTCTTTTTACCAAACAAAATTTTAACAAGATAGATATTTTGAAATCTATTATTCAAGGGAAATGTTATAAATGCTAAGTTTATTAATAAGTGACAATTGAACCTACGCAATCCTAAAAATCATTATTGTTGTATCTCTGATACTTACTTATAAATATATCGCTTTTGTATTTAATGAAATACAAAAAAAAATAATAAGAATAAAAAAATTATCGACTTTTATTCTCTCTTCTCTTTTTCTCTCTTTTCATAACATATTTTAATTTATTCATTATTTATCCAAAAGTGTAAAATGAAAGTTGAATACATGTAAGAAAGCTTATTTTAATTTAATCGTTGCTTATCTAAAAGCACAATTGTCATTGCAAATAGACAAATCTCAATTGAACTCTTTATGCTTAGAAGACATGTAATCGATTTCTTTAGATAAACTAGGATACATTGTCAAGTTTTAGTCACTAGTATATTAACAAGAGGTTAGTTTCAATGTCAATAATTGTCCCCCGACCGTTAAGCTATTGGTCTCGAGGTGATCAGTCCTCGAGTTATGGGCTGTCCTTGCTCAATAGTCCTTATTGAGCTTGATACATTTATGATTTATAACATTTTGGGATCATTGTAGTAGAAGTCTCAAATCTTTGAAACATTAGTAAACTTTTCCCAAATCTTTGATTTGTTACAGAAGTCACTTCTAACATTTTCAAATATTGCAGGTGAAGTTCTTTTGGACGATTTTCATCCACAATTCCGTCAGTAGACAAAAAAATTAACTTTGACCACATTTTTAATATTTTAAAATGGGGCAAAAGAGTAAATTTTCATTTATCGCATTAAATAATAATTAAATTAAAAAAACACACACACACACATACACACCCCCCATCTTCTTCCTCTCACCCCCAACTGAAACCTAAAATACACACTAACCACATCCACCTCTACCTCAATTAAGAGTCTTGGGCCTCCACCTTCAAAAATTCACATGACAAAGTCGAGTTAATCCAATCCCCTTATCGTTCGATAAAGAAGCCTAAATCTAGGCATTTATGGCGTTGCCCAAGCAACGAAAATGGCGTGAAATTGTGTGGAGGGCAAGGGATGTGTATGGTTTGGCTACACCAGAGCTTGCTATCTTGTCAAAAGAAGATATCACTATTTGCATTTGATGGTAATATTGTCTGTACCTTCTGTCTGGGGTAGTTCCAACATGCTTAATTTAAGAACATGACATTAGAGGAATTCTCAAGGTGAAGGCCCAGGACTCTTGATTAAGGTGGAGGTGGTTGGTGTGGATTTTAGGTTGTGGGGGTGGAGCAAAGAAGACAGGTTGTGTGTGTTTTTTTTTATTTTTTATTTTAATTATTATTTAATGTAATAAATAAAAATTACTCTTTCACCCATTTTTAAAATATAAAAAATTTGGTCCAAATTAAATTTTTGATTAACGGACGGAATTGTGGATGAAAACCGTCCAAAATGGCTTCACCTGCATGTTTCGAAATGTTTTAGGTGACGACTGCAATAAATCAAAAGTTTGGAAAAATTCTACTAATATTTCAAAGATTTGGGACTTCTACTGCAATTATCCCTAACATTTTAAGGGTTAACAATTTCAAAGTTTATTTAATATTCACCTCCTGCACCCTTAATCGCTCCAAATTTCATAGCTTAGAATTTTATTTAGAGTGAAGCTACATGTACAAGAAAATATCCCTGCCAGGCAAGAAGCAAGTGGGGATAGGCCCCACAAATTTTTAAAAAAAATACATGTGGGGCCTGCCCCCAAACACGTGCAGGTTTTTCTTTTTATTTATGGGTCCCACTCAAAATGTTGCTCAACAACTTCGAAATTCGTTTTCCATTTATTTTTTAATTTTTTATCATTTGGCTGATGCGTCCATTTCGTTGTATGGATGGCAGGCGAGCGAGATGAGACGGGATTAAAACAATTTGGGAGATTTTTCTATTTGGTCTATCACTATTCTTTTTTTTTTAAATGTCTATATTACCTTTAATGAAATGATTTTTTTTTATATTGCAACATATATCCTAATTTTTTAAACATTTTATCTTTTACTTTAAATATTTGAATATAAATACATTCTATAATCTAATAAATAAGAATAATCTACAACATATATTTCATATTTTCTAATTAAAATGCTATATTCTTCAAATGGTTAATTTATATTTTCTAATTAAGAGATAATATTATTTATTTTTTCTAATAGATTATCTAATCATTCAATTGTATATCCTGGCATCTATTCATAATCATCAATTAATCTCTACGATTCTTCAATATCTTAAAAAGATTCATTCTAATTTTAGCAAAAGTTTTATAGTTTTACCTTATGTTTGGTCTGGACTTTTATTCTTAGAATCGAGTGACCTTCGAGCTCTGAATCTGTAAACTGCTTCCTTCAACGGCCTCTTGCCTTCAATAAATTGTTACTATTTCAGCTACTTGCCGTTACTGTATTAACTTCTAAAGAATAAAATTATAGACTTCTGTTAAAGAAAAACTTTTCTTTTTGCTAAATTAAGAATGAAACTTTTTATCAGA